CGTTTTTGAGGAAGAAGAAGTAGTATTTTTTTTTTTTTTAAGACTTTAGCGACTCAGAAGCTGATCAAATATCGGGTTAAATATCGGTGGGATGGCCGATGTCCGATATTCAGTTTTAAGGCCGATACCAATAGGGGGCCGATTATATTGTGCATCCCTACTGTATATATATTGCTTATTCTTAATGCACCTTTTTCCTCCTTGTTTGCACCTTCTGTAACTTCTATGTGAAATATGTGACGAGTGAATTTCTCCGCTGTGAGATCAATAAAGCTCATCTAATCTAATCTAATCTAATCTCAACAGGCGTGTATCCCATTAGTCATGTGCAAAAAACCAATTTAATTTCAGATCGCCATACGCCTCAAAAAACACCAAAAAGTAAGTAATTAAATGCTTTTTTTCTACATGACTAAAGGGATACACGCAGGGTAGTTTAAAGTGTATTTTTCTGACAAAATTAAAGGGATAAACGGGTATTGGATATGCTGGTCTGACCAGGTAGGCTCATCTGACAGAACACCGCCGCTCCCCTCAGCTTTGTTGGATATAACATTTATTTTCATCATTTCAAGCATAAAAATGTTAGAAACAATCAAATACAAAGGAAATCAATAACGGTAGAAATGTTTCTTTAAAGCGTTTTATATTTACTGACAAAACCCATCAATGTAAACCGCATGGATGAAGTTTAAATGAAAGCGGTCTGGTAATGGAAAAATATTGATGTTAGCAGACATAAATATCCATAAATGAAGACATGAACTGATGTTTTACTAGGAAACTAAATTATTTAGGAGGATTGGTAAGTTTTAAAACGCTCAGACAGATCAGTGGCTGGCTTTACGAGAACGCAGCCCTTAGAAAAAAAGAGCTTGCTCTTGGATCAACAGATGTCAGCAACAGTTCCTTCACAGCTGTTTGTCTTTCTCATTGTGGCAGGTGTGCAGCACATTAAGCGGCAGGACATTGTGTTGAAATGGGAGCTCGGCGAAGGAGCGTTTGGCAAAGTCTACCTGGCAGAGTGTGCAAACCTCAGCCCCGACAGCGACAAGATGCTGGTTGCCATTAAGGTGAGGAAATCTCGCATCGTCTCCTACGTCGTTCGGAAGCAATTTAACAACTAATGTGCTCTAAACATTTGCAGCAGCAGTGAAAATGTCAGCTGTTAGTATGTGGTCTAAGCAGAGGAGTTTCCTGAGAAGAAAAGCTGTTTGTGGTAAACAGAACAAAAAGTTATTCCTGCTGCAACAAACTTCCAGTTCGTTTTTTTTGATACTACCTAATGACCCCTGTGGTGTCAGATGTACAAACAGCCTTTAAATAAGTTCTGCAAAAAATAAATTCAGTCACCTATTTGTTTTTATTTGATATTTTACTTTATAGGTTCATCAAACTGACCATTAGCTTTAAATTGGTGATCCTTAACTTTGTTGGATTTTTTCTGTGGAATAAATTATACAACACAGAGGCCCTTTAAGGTTAGCCTCTCTTCAAAACAGGAAGGAAGGTATAACACAGCATTAAAGGAATAGTACACCCAAAACATGATTAGCCTTCATTTTCTACTCACCCCCATGCTGAACAACACTCTGGAGTACTTTTTTG